CGTTAATTAATTTTATTGCCAAACTTTTGGAATAAATTAAAATAAATTATTACATTCTGAAAGGATTAGATCAACTTTATACTTGTCTCATATAAAATTAGAAAATAATTAAAGTTTGTGAAATTCTTTCTTGTTGCAAAATATTTTTAATGAAGAATTTTGTTTTACTTACCAAAATTTTTTTTATAACAACCTGCTGTGATATTTCGGAACTTACAAAAAGGATTCCATACGCTACTGAATTCGAAATAATAGGGTGCTTTTCAAAAACATGTTTTATAAGTTTTCCCACTTTGGACATTCTAAAGAGAAATATATGTAAGAAGTCACATACTTTTTCGAAAAAGGAAAAAATTAATAAATGTTTCAATATTTTCACAATTCTAAACTTATTTTTTATTTAATTCTAAACATATAGTTAGGGTTCCGTACGTTCGAATGAAAAATGGAACCCTTATGACAATGTATATCGTAATTTAAAAATTAAAATTTGGGCAACTTAAAATATGCATTCATTTTTAGAGATTGAATCTTTAACAGTCTTGCAGCACCTACCTGCTGGGTGATTTGATCTGTGTGCAGTCCTTTAATAACACTTTTTATTGCTTTTACATGAAGATGATACTGCATGTAAAGAACCTTGATATTATATATCAATCTTAACATAACAATACAGTAAAACCACAACACAAACTTCGCCAACAAGTCAAATTAATTTACATAAATGTTACGTTGATTGTCCCATTCGAATTTATCTACATATTGTATATGAGCTTGTGCGTGTGTGCTAGAATGTATTTAAATTGGTTCAAAGCAATACATCCTCTACTGGAGTCTCACTTACATAATTTTTGTGTTGCACATTCTTTAGAAGAAGTTCTTAGTACTAGATAATAGTTTACAAAATTTATCAGTTTGTTTCAAGATAAGATTGCATGGTATCTAATGAATTTAATTCCAAATGGTCTTAATTAAGGAAATTACTGTTCAATCATTTATAAAAGATTAAGTATTGTACTTATACTATTTTTTTACTTTCACTTTTCTTTGTAATTTTTATTGTGAACCAAACTTAAATATACGTACTATAATTATTAATAAACGATGCAAACATACAGTAGAAGTTGTTTTATACTCTTAATATTTCATATCGTACTCCTATATCATTTTATTAATCTAATTTGCGATTAGTTTTGATAAATAAATTTGAATTTGAAAAATATTATATTTACTATGCAACCTCATATTGTCTGCTGTTCACGGGGTTGCATACGTGTAACCATTAATTCTGAATATTCCCCTTTTTAAATACGGAAAAGTGAAAATGATGATAAATACATTATTTTCTTTCTTAGGGTCTTAGTTACTCAATTTTTGGGCTAAACTTCTTTTAGAAGGAGTTCTTAATGTTAGATAATAGCTCACAAAATTTATCAATTTGTTTCAAGATAAGATTGCATGGTATCTAATGAATTTAATACCAAATGGTCTTAATTAAGGAAATTACTGTTCAATCATTTATAAAAGATTAAGTATTGTACTTATACTATTTTTTTACTTTCACTTTTCTTTGTAATTTTTNTACTTATGTAATATTTTGTTAATTTAACTAGCGATTAGGTTTGGGAAATAAATTTGAATTCAAAAAATAGTTTTTACTTTTATGCAACTTTTTGCTATCTTCTGTTCACACAGTTGCATACGTGGATCTACTAATTTTTAATATTTTCTTACTTCAACTGCATGACAATGAAAATGATAGTAAACACGTCGTTTTCTTTGAAAAAAACTTATAATATACGTTTTAGCTACTAATCTATACCTAAGAGTTCTATTACAAAGCAACAATAACTAGTAATATAATAATTTGTTTAAAAAAATACACAGATTATACAATGAAGCTCGATAGGTTGCCTAACAGTAAATCCAAAAATCGAATTAATTCCTGAAATTTAGTTTATTAGGTTGCCTAACAGAGAATCGAAAAATGATATTAATAAAATACAGTAGTGGTGTATACAGGGTGTGTTTATAAACATTGGTGATATTTAGGTGAGAAAATAATTTCTATTTTCTTTTCATAATTTCTTCAATGAAAATTGACATTGTTCGGTCTTTACCTTTGGTATTGTTTCGTAATTCCGTTACCTTTGAAATATGTTCCAAACGTAAGGTCAAACCATTTAACATTTTTACGCTAATTTCAAGTTTGGTCACTAGTATGCGATTTTTTTTCATTCATTCAGTACACAATGTAGATGAATACAGTACGTAATATTAAAATATTCCGGAAGAATGCGAGGCCTGTTAGCCGTAACATTTTTTATTCTACAATCGTACTTCACTTTTATTTAGTTGTAAATTGTGCAAACTTCCGGTGTGACAGCACCTGTGCGCATTTAATTATTGTTTATTTATATGAATGCCTTTGCCAAAAGGAATTCTTGTGCTACAAAAGCAGGAAAATTGTTTTTTGATATTTCAATCAGTAAAATTCTAATTAGTTGGTATAAACAATTGTAAATCGAGTTCTGTTTGGTGTTTTTTGCGTTTAATGCGTTCGGTTATTGTTATTGTAATTCAAAAATGGTAATATTTGATCTGTAATGAATCATCGATTGACAGTGTCTACTCATGAATTGTGGAATATATACAAAAAATGCGGTCCTCACGTTAAAGGGAAGATTCACGTTTCAAAACTGTATTCCTTGGGGAGGTTGTATGTTGACAGCGAAGAGGTATGCCCTTGTACGCATTTGAGAGACGGAAATTACGAAAAAAAAAAACAAATTATTTTTAGGATGTTTATAAAATCATCTGCTTGTTGGACCCTAATCGGAAGGGCTTGTTAGGTTTTAAAGAATTCGCTGTTGGTGTCAGGAAAATTCTTACTGGAGAACATTTAGAAAGAGGTAAGATTATGTAATATGTTAATTAAAAGCGCTTTTTAACAAAAAATACATGAGCAAAATGTAATTTGTAGTTAAAAATCACTTTAGTGTACGAGTGGTTTCTGAATGTTGCAAACACATTGACCTACAGACTAAATTTATACCTAGACAGCTGTAAATTATCAATTTGGGTTTTGATTCCGGCAAGCGCATTCAAAATAGACGAAGGACTCAATTTTATAAGTTTTAGCTTTTAATGTGTTACATTATCGATATAAAATTAATCCTGAAATATAAAAATGAAATTTTGATTACTAATAATCCAAAAACACGTATATTGATATGTTCTATTAATTTGCGTAATTTCAAATTTCTTCGTTCGTTTTTTTTTTTTTTAATGAAAGGTCCATTTTTATCATTTCCTAAGATTACTTTTTGCACAGCCCTTGTATTTTAATTTTATCATACAGGTATATCTTCCCGGGTACTATTAATAAAAATCGCAGACATAAATTTGTTTTTTATTAATTGTAAAAAAAATTGCAACTATAAGATCAAAAAATACAGAAAATTTCCTTTTTTGCTTTATTACTATCGTTGGTAATTATTGGACGTACCACCTATATGGGCAATTAAGCTACATGCATGCATATTGTCTGTTCTTTTCTATTGTTGCGGTTCTCTCTTTCGCTCGCAACGCTATTTCAGGTATTAAATTAAACAGTATTTTCTAATATCGAAGAGTGTGCTGAATCTCAGGTGAAATTGCTATCGTCGGAGTGTGCGCAGAAACGGTTTTGTCTAGAGGTATTCGTCCCACCACTTGTTTTTACGGCAGTCTCCGTATCCGTAGTCGAATGTGCACGTCATGGCCAGGTAGAGCCAGCTTCATTAGACGTGCCCATTTACAACATTTAAGGTTTTCTTTTCGTTTTAAAACGGTAATGATTTATTGGCCGGTCGTGGAACTTGTAAATAATTAGCTAATTATCCGGGTTGACGAGCGTACGTCGAGTTTATCGTCATTTTTCGTGCAATATTTGTAAATAAAGTACTATCTCCGGAAAATTGTAACGTTTGTGCGTCAACAAAAATTCACCTGTAAACCAACAGGTAAGGCAAAAAGAAAGATGGACAATAAGTACTTTGTGTGTAACTGTTTCTGTAGGTGTACCTGTTTGTAACAAAGGTGATTCATGTTAAAGACAGGTATAGAACGCAATAATATTCGTTATAGATTTATAGGGATATTCTTTTTCTTCGTTTATGGTAAATTTTTTGTAAAGTATTTCCGTTAGACGATACAAATGCAGTACTACCTACCTATATTGTTAAACGTGACAATTTTTGATTTCACTCTTTATCTATAATGAACAGGTAGATTGTTTTGTTCTTTATAATATCCTTGTACAAGCTTGTAATGATTTACGTGAAAATTACACTGTTTTGTTATCAGTATTTTGTGACCCTCGATAATTCTTTTTATTTGATGTATTATGTGTTTGTTTTTGATTTTTTGGTTGAAAGGACATCGACCTTGAAGCATCTATCTAACAATTAGAACGTGAACAGGTATTCTTATTTTCATTCATTATTATTTCATTAACTGTTATTTAATGATTTATACCTAACTATCGAACAAATTGCCTCCTCCAAATTCCGTAATTCGAAAGAACATTAAATAGAGAAATATACCCACCATGTTTATAAAAGGAATTTTACAATTGCCATTGTTTTTTGAGATACCAGAAACAATTAAAAACATTGTGTAACGGTTTTCTATTGTCATAACTTAATGGATTAATTTCCAAAAATAAAGGTAGATGAGCACATTAGACAGGTAAAGACAACTACAATAGTATTAATATTATATTTAATGAGGGTTGAAGCGGCAATATAATTACTTTGTTCACTGAAACGCTTTCTGGGGTCATTACTCTTTAGTTAATTAATATCAGAGCTATTATTTGAATAATTTTTATTTTCAATTCGCAGTAATTTTTTTGCCAAGTGCGACCTTTCCTGAAACATTTCTTACATCTATTTCACTGATGTAATACATTTTGTTATGGTTTATCGTACTTTAACGTATTACTTTTGCTATAACTATACCAAGAATGTTCAGTCAATGTGCTAAACAAAATTTCTTGCCAACCAAACATTTTCAATGACTATTGTACGCTTTTTTGTTCTACTAAAGTTTGTTGTGGATTATAACGTTATAAGTACCTACAACAAATTAAATATTGCTACTCATTTCTAATTTTTGGCACTAAATGTTCGTATATGCGATACAAATTAGGTGCTTCATTAAAGGAGCATAGTAATTATCATTTGGTAGTCCTTAATTTGTCTTTAGACTAATTATTTAATGATTATTAAATTTCTATGAAGTACTTGTATTATCTACTCAGTTACTTTCTCTTAAGTGTTGAATTTATCATTTTTGAAGTCATGTTTTTAAGTCAATATTCTCTGTACCTATCTAATGTGTACTTAACAAAGATTTAATTAATGCTTTCACCTGTGAACACAGGTAGATACCTACTTGGACTTATGTACTTATGCATGTCTGTAAGCAAGTACGACATGTGTTAAACATTAAGTGTCTATTGGTGCAAAATTGGAACTAGTTCAATTGAAAATCAAGGAAGTGTGTTTAAGAGTAATAGGTACTACGTCATAATAGATATAAAAAAGTAAGTAAAACAAAAAGAAAGAAGTTTTAGTGTACCTGTGATACCTTTTGATTTCACATGTCATTAAACAGCTAATTAAAAAGAAAACGAAATGTAATTAATGTTATGAAACATCATGTCATTCATTATCAAATTGTTTTGGTTTATTTTTGACCAGTACTCACAGTATAAATTCGTTAAATTTGAAAGTAATAATTCATTTGTTCCAAGTTTCTCTTTATTGTACGCTTCAGTTCTTTTACGTACCTGGGCAATTTTAACAAAAGTTATTTCTTTAAATGGTTAGTTACACTGTTATTATTGTAATGTTGTACTTGCTTATGACGACACATATGTAATTTTAATTGACTTTGTTAGATTAGAATCTTTTCTTTTTGGTAAAGTTTTTTCCTAATAGAAAATTTCCTGGCGTAACATGTTTCACACTGGCTGGAGGTATTTGTACGAATTTACCTATACCACGTCGTATTTATTGATAGGTGGTATAGGTAAATTCATACAAGAACCTTTAGACATCTTTTCATATAAATAATAAAGTAATATGAGTTTAAAGCCTCTGAGATTTCTCCAAATTATGCATTTCACTCTAAGGATATCAAAAGAATAAATGCCGACAGAAAGTCATGTAAAATTTTAAATGTTCAGTGTACGTTTTGCCTTACCTGTATACGCTTTTTAGAAGACATTTGTTTACATGCGAGACTTCTATTTATCTTTCTATTCCATTAAGGAAAATGAGCGGCATGGTCTGGAGTAAAGGGCTAGATCGTATTTACTTTGTTGAATATACGATTTTGAAAAAAAAAACCAAGAATCTTCAGCTTTTCTTGATGAAAAAAAGTTTCTTTTAATTGCTATTTGTCCGTCTATCTCTTTCTAATACACCTGCGTTCGGTCGTAATTTTATACAGTATACATTTTAAGCTTGCACATACAATTACCAATGAAAATGAAAGTATCTCACGCGAAATGCATTTCGTGCGTGAAAAGAAAAGGATTATGGCATATCGCGACTACTTAGTGTCTGATATTAATTGGAAAAGGGGGGAATATTAATCCATTAAGACAACTCGAAGAAAATCAAATTTCGCATGATGCTTTGTACAAATTTAAATGTATCGTTTACACAGTAGTTATTTTCGTATGAAATGTAATTAGCTATCCCGCCCCCACATAAAATTAAGATAACATTTCTCATTACGCTTTTATCGGAGATAATTAGCAATAAAGTTAATTTTATTTTAAGCAGTGAGAATTAACAGAAGCTGCATCTGGTTGTAATTTGTGCCTGATACGCCCCTTCGATGTATATACATATAGTGTTTACATCCGGCCATTTAATTTTATTTTTTTTTTTTTTCAAGAAAGAAGGGAAGCCCTTTAAACCTTAAACAAATCAGAAATTCGATACCTAACAGAAAACAGACACTTTACACTTTATCTACGGTATTAAATAACGCACTTCCTTTCAGATTAATGGAGAATAGTGAAGGGCATGCTTTCATAAAAAAATATTTTTTAATAAATACTATACAAGAAGCAGGGAGTATTTCATAACAGTGTTTTGATATTTTCTGTTATTAAGTCAAAAAAAGTAGGAAATAATGGTCGCTGTGGAAGTCAATAGGGAAAAAAGGGCTGGTAGAAACATGTTAGAAGCAGAAGGAGGAGTAGAGAGAGGCAGAGGGACACCTAGATTAAATTACTGTCTGAGAATATAGACCTACTTACTTATATTTTGCGAAGATTGCTTTTGGTTTGGATTAGATAGGAATGAATGAATGAATAGAGGAGCGGTCTTCATTATCATGTGAAGGTGGTGATATTCTATATTGTATATTTTGTTTTCATTGCAAAAATACTAGGTAAAGGTCTAGATGATGGTCCCTTCGGGGGTGGAGATGGGGGGATCAAAAGAGGAGGTCTCCCCCACCACTGTACCATAAAAAGTTCGTGGCGGTCTCACCCCCATAAAAAGTTATAGGGATTCAAAGTTAATAAATATGTCAATTTTTATACATTTCTAGGCATGTGAATATTTATCTATACAGTCATTCTTAAACAATATTCAAAGGTAAAACTAATGGAATATAAAACATTATTTAAATATCTTTATCAATAGAGTAGGTTAGGTTAGGTTATCGGGTTTTGTTCAAGTGACCACCCTCTTTCGATCCCCCACATCCACCCGCTTGAAAATATTTTTTTTATTGAATTTTATTTGAATCATAGTGTATGAAAATTGTCAAAATACTCAACTTCCAACCTCCATAATTTTTTATGGGGGTGAGACCGCCGCAAATTTTTTATGGGGTTTTACTC